CAAAGCAAGCACATGTTTGTACAAAAGACTGCTGATGGGCCAAGTCTTGGTGTTAGTCTATGGATAAACCAAGATGTGGCTTTCCTTCAGATCAACTAAAATCCTGTATTTGGGGAATAAGCTCAGCACGCTGCCCTTTACAAGGGAGATATAGCAAGCAATAAAAAATGCTGATAAACATTTTTACCAATTTCAGCTTCAATGTCCTTTCGCTTCAATTTTTGATTCATAAAATCCTGACTCCTCACAGGCATGTTGTAAAAATAAATGTACTATGTCTGTAGGGCTTAGCAACTATAGGGATTAATGCTGAGAAAACCCTGCAGGAAACTACCCTTTTCAGATATCAGGTAGCAGGAAGCATATTCAATGTATACCACAAGTGTCATAGGCTGAATGATGACAATAAAATTAAATGCTGGTCAGTCATTTCACTGCTCCCAGATGGTCCCTCCTGTTCAGCTAGAAAGTTGATCCTGTCTTGGAAAACATCAGTGATCTTGCAGCATATATACAGAGGACTCGATGCCCTTGGCAGGCTCCAGCTCCTGCCCTCCAGTGGCATCCGTAACCCAGAAGTGGCCAGACCAAGACAAATCAATCCCAGCAGCACAAAAATCCAGTGCCTCCCTTGCCAACACTCAGGCAACGGTGCATTACGGAGAGTAGCTCATTCAGCAGCTGCACTTTGCCCAGGGACCCAGCAGGCAAAGGTGGTAGGTTTCTGATGGGAGTATGTGAAGCTACACCTTCTGCCCTCTCCCTCCAGGTGGCACATGGATATAGGGGAAGACTTACCAAGAAATACAATAAATGCAATCAACATATATACAGGTTTTGGGGAAGTCTGTAAAAGACACAAGGCATACACAGAGGATCCAGCTGCAAAACACTGGTAAGAAGGTGATTTCTAAGTAGAATATAGTCATAGTGAAATGATTTACTTAATTTACACAAATGAACCTCAGGAAAACAAAGCCAGAGTCAAAAATATTTTTGAAACTAGTCTAAATATTTATTCGTTTTCCAGGTTAGGAAAGGATTTTACTTCCCTGGCTCTCAAGTCATTATCTGTGCCAACCCCACTTACACAGGGTTATCAAATTTTTCAGCTCTTATCTCATAAAAGCTTTATCTTTGCATTTTTTAATTACAGTTTGTTCCCAAAACTATGGAGAGTCTGCACAAAATTAAACTGGCTTAGACTCTTTTCTCTTATCATATCCTAACCAGCCTATAGCACAGTGGAAACCGAAATAAAACATCCTTAGAACAATTACTACTTCATTCACCAATAATTTTGGGGGGTACTGGTGAAAGCCATTCCTGAATGTCCAAATATTTTCATTAATGTAGTATTTCCATAAAACCCAACACAGTTTAGAAAAAATACACACTGTTTAAGTGGTAAAATTTGACAAGTAGCAGAAACACCACCAACGGTACAAAACAAGACTCATTAAGTTGAATTCAACTCCAACTTAAATTGACTATGATTCAATTAATTAATTAATTAATTAATTAATTAAAAGGAGAACCTGCACACATCAGGCAGCTGATGATAGACATGCTACGGTACTGCTGTACAGCCGAGCATAGAAGGGAGAGACTTCAGGAGTGGACAAAGATAACTTTGTGATTGCCTGTTTTTTACAGAAAGATGTAACTTCCTTTCTGGATTATCTGTGATTAAGAGAACCGGTTCTTATATTTCCTAGGCACCTGTTACAATCATGACTTGTTTCCAAGCCTGATGTCATACATTTTCTCAAAGTTAGCACCAGGGTATCAAAGCACTCTCATGTTTAAGGGGTAGGAGGACCTGGAGGTGGCACTGCCTTCACAAGGAAGAAACATCCCGCAGAAGAGTGAGCTCGCAC